GACGTCTGTGATTTGCAGGCCTGTGCACTGACCCACTGCGGCACTGATCAAAACACATCACAGTCGCTTCTGTTAGGCTGCAAAGACAAAACAAAAAACTGGACAACATTCAGTCCCACTGAAGTCCTCTTTCACAAAATGTAAAAGCCTGGGAAAGACAAGACATCATCTGTTTGCTTATTCCCCTCAGAGGCTTTCTAGTATCATATCTTTCTTCATTTATCTTCTCTTGCTTTTTCCAACATTTTGAAAGGTTTTAAAGCCGCATTAATGGATAAGAAGAAATAATTTGTCCTCATTATTTTAAATGCAAAAAATTGCTAATCAGTATTTCCCAACAGATTGTTGAAATGTCAAAGTTTTTTGGCTGCAATTTCACAGTTACAAATAGACGTATCAATCAATGTAAGGCTGGATGCTATTAATGATTTTTTAATAACTAGTTACAATTAGCATAACATGATTTTTATAGCAATAATGTGACTAACTACATGAAAATACAAAGCCAAGATTTGACGTTAAACTAGAGTTATGCTTTACAGTAAATAACATGACAGCTTATTACCTCCACCAATGAGGTTGTGTTTTTAGCGGGATTACGGAAAAGTACGTGCCCGTTTTTTTATAAAACTTGATGAAAGGGTGAATGGTCCAAAGAAGAACCCATTACATGTTGGACTCATTCTACACCACGGGTCGATACACGCGTAAACTAACCCTCATCAAGATGGCCTTGGCGGACGTCTGCACTCTACAACTACGTTTCTAGTTTTTCTTAATTTAATATCAATATGCTAGATTTTGTCGCAATTGTAAATGTAGCTGAGGAAAGTAACAATAATGCACAATACACTTAACATTTTTGCTAGTGGTCTAAAGGTTTGTCAAAGGGCGTTTCTATTCAGCTCTTTCTAGCTATGATAGCTACATCTTTTCCTTTTACATGCAACTGAACAAGGCTAAAAAGCTAGCTAGCAAATAGTCATATTACATCTTTAGCTTAGCATATGACATTCATATTTTGAGATTTTCCTATGATTAGCTCGAAATTCAATTTAGATTAACGACAGCCAACTTGCAGCATGTCATGACAATGCTACCATAACAACTGTAAACACCATAATAGAATAATGTCCTAATATTATAAACACATGAAAAACTAAGGAAACTTACTGACGTTGATTTTAAGGACAATACAGACTCAACATAATTTGTTATAGAACATTAGGATTAATAAGCATTAATACTAGCTTTGCATTAAAAAGGCTATTTTGTGTTTAAACATAGTAAGTTCAACATGACGAGTTGCTTTACTTCCTCCAACAGTGGGTCAGACCTTTTAGTTCTTTCAGTTAAATCACAGCTTACTCTGTATCTACTCCACTGGAAAAGGAAAACCAAGTCATCAGTGATAACCGAACTGTGACAGCTTCTAAAGACACATAATGGAGGAAAAACTTTTCAAACTTCCAAATTGACGTTCAAATTGGGTGAAAGTCAGGCAGACGCCTGAGGGGCTAATCAGGAAGAAAGACATTGATGTGTAGGTTAAAGCAGAATGCATGCACGCACGCACGCACGCACGCACGCACCTTTCTGTGCATTTGTAACTTAAAGCTGCTGCACACGCTTGAGGAGAGGAACCTTGTCTTCTGTTGAATAATAAAACAGCCAATTGAGGAATGCTGAGAGCTAAAGTACAAAGGCTGGATTTTACAGAGTGCATGCATAAGCAGTGGTTCCTAACTGTGTTTCAGTGTGGGTGAAAACTGCAAAAAAGTGACAAAGAAAGGAAGCGTGATCTCATTGACTCACTGAATAAATTGTTTACAACTTTACTTTACTTTGAAACAGCTCTAATTGAAAGATGATTACTTTTCCAATCAGAAAATGGCAAACCAAAATCAACGTATTTGAATTGTGTGCCCTTACTGTGACATGTTTCCATGCTTTAATGTTCAAAAAGCTCTTTATTTTTCTCATACTGCCTGTGCTGCAGAACCTCTTTTCACCTGAAACCAGAGCCCAGTCTGCTCTGATTGGTTAGATGGCCGGCTCAGGGGTGATTGGTCAACTGCTTAGAGATGTCCCGCCCCTTAGCCTATCACCTACAATACATTTGGATTGGAGGGAACTTAGGGTTTTTTAGTCTCTGCAGACCATTTATAAAACACAATGTTGATAATGTTTTTATCATTTGATTAATTTATCTAATGTCAGACTAATGTCTTAATTGTTTAAGTCATTTAAACCATGTTGCAAAAACGTCCTTTTTTCACCAAAGGAACATTGCCAGGATCAGACAATTTTTAACTCAGAATACTGCTGAAATGGCTTTACTTGCTTTTATTACTAGTCGCTTGGACTTGCATTTCTCATTCTTACTGGTCTCCCTAAAACATCTTTAAAGAAATTGCAATTCATTCAGAATGCTGCGGCCAGGATTTAACAAACACAAAAAAAGGGATCACATTTCCCCTGTGCTGGCATCACTGCACTGGTAACCGGTGCATTTTAATGATTTACAAGGCTTTACATAACCTGGCCCCTGTACATCAGTGACTGCCTTTCATTTTACAAACCTACAAGGACACTCCGATCCTCCAATGTATTTCTTTTCGAAGTACCGAAATTATTTTTAGAAAATATATCTTTCTATTGGATGTTAGAACAGCTATTGGAATTTTTTTCCTAAATCGTCAAAAATGGTATATTCTCTGTTAGCTTACGACCTCCCGTTTGAGCGATCGACTATTCCTTCGCAATTTAGCATCACATTGGATATGGGATGAACTTGTCCTGGATTGGAATTTTTCCGATCATTTCCCCACGAGGAGTTTTGCAAAAATGTGCTTAAAATGCATGAAAAACGCAAATCTTTCAAAATGGCAGACTTTCTGGGGGGCGGGGCTAATGGAAGCCAATTATAAATATGTCCGCATTTCCATGAGGCATGTCTGTGCCAAGATTCGTGAAGTTCGGAGAAACTATATGTGACTACCACACAATAGGGGGCGCTACTGAGCTGTTTTAACAAAAAACTACGATATTGTTTTTGTACATTCTTGAACCACTGACGGAAGTAGTTTTTAAAAGTTGTGGTTCTGTCTTTTACATGTAGGATTCAACCCCCCTTGTATTGATTTGTTTTAAAATGAACAGACACTTGAGTCATTCATTTGTAGTGATATAATAATTGTGGGATTTCTGTTGCATCCACGTCAACTGCAACGAAGAACGCCAACGCAATTTCCGCCATTGCAAACCGAGTCAAGCCGACTCCGAGCTGTCCGACTTCAGGCGAGCCGCAGCTCATCTCAAACAAGCCTATTGTCTAAAAAAAAATTATTCCGTCCATCCGTTCTTGAGTTATACATTTGTGGTGGTTTTGACGCCCCCTATAGTCCAAAATGAAAATGTTTTGGTGTGCCTATTCCCCAAGACAGACCAAAATCTGTGATATATGGATACATTGTTGATGAGTTATGAGCATTTCTTTCTAAGCCCCGCCTTTTTGCAAATACGTTTTGATTAATGGCGGCCATATTTATCGACTGAACATGCTCATTTCCTAGGGTAATGTGGGTGTCCCTCCACCGATGCTGTATACTAAGTTTGGTGTCGAAAAACAAAAAATTGAAATTTAAGTGAATATTTCACTGTTTTGAACATTATGCTAATACAAAAAAGGCGGAGCTTAGGGGTCCAAGAGGATAATTTGTAGAGCAGGTCGAGACGGATAAGTGTGCACAATTTCTGGTCATTCGGACTTACGGTGGCGACTATGTACCTTTTTCCGAAATGGGATTTTCATAGGTGGCGCTAGCGAGCAGGTTGGACAATTTGAACCCATTGACTCCAGAATGTCAAATGTTTCCCCGGTCCTGGCATCCGTGCAAAATTATACAACTTTTGAAGCGTCCTGAGGCCCTCAAGAATGGGTTCTAAGAACGGGAAGAATAGTGAAGAATAATTCCTACAATAACAATAGGTTCCTCGCACTTCGTGCTAGGACGGCGTTGGGTCCTAGCACTCTCGTGCTCGGGCCCTAAATATATATATAATATGTCGTCCTCATTGCTATGATAAGAAACTGGGTTACAGGAATTTTAACTTAAAGAAAATTCAAGAGTCTAATGCAAATGAAAGGAAAATAAGGCTTGAGGTTAAATAATCATACTCACAGTCTACAGTGCAAGTTGCTATATTTTCATAGATTTCTAGTGATGAGACTACAGTAAATAATGCTGCGTCTGACTTTTTTACGACCCTATCTGGTTTATTTGAAATCAAGTGAACTACTTTAAGGATTAGTTTTCAATTCTGGCAATGTTAATACATTTAGTTGCTGTCATATTCAGGAAATACCCAAGATGTCATTAATCATGTCTGGGAAAATGTCTAGTTGTACAGCTTGTTAGACCAAAACCGTCATAAAATTAGACCCAAAATTGCTGAACGCCACAGTGACAAGCTGAACTGCGACTGAGGACTGATGCCATCCCAGAAACCCAGACTGTGTTTGAAAAAGGTGTCATTTTCAGCAGTGGTAGGAAAACAAGTTTGGTAGCACTGGAGGATTGGATTTCATACTTTTACATCAGACATTCATTTGGAAAGCTCTTTCTAATGACAAGACTTTTCTCCGTGTAAAAAACCTAAAGTGACAGCACTCAAAATCCTTTCAAATTTGATTTTTTTGGATCCTTAACTCCCCCAGAATAAGTTTGACAACTTGAGTTTCTTTCTTTTACATCAGACATAGTGCTGCCCTGAAAATAACACTGTGTCTGTCGATGGAAAACATCAAAAGCCACCACTCCGACGGTGTCGTCATGTAGCAAACTTCATGTAAAGTACAATATAATATTATTTTTACATACGTATTATTTTTTAGTAGAAGGTTGCAATAGATATGACTATATGGGAGTAAGTACAATTTGTGACGGTACTTTTGTTTTACTAACCCTTTGGATGTTCCCTGATATTCCCTCACTCACCTTCTTTGCCGCATTGATACACTGCATGTATTGTTTGGCCAGGTCGGAACACCTTAGGGTCTGGTCTCCGTTATCCCTGTAGCAGGATAGAATCTGAGCCTGCAGGCCAGAACACACCGGGTTCATATTGCGAGACCTGCCGAAAACACAGGGGTAAACAAAGATGAAATCATGAGTGACGTTAGTAGAATTTGAATAACAGATTTTAAAGCACAAGAACCCCAAAGAGCATAATGACAAACAAAAATCCAAGAGGATAGCGCTTGAAAGGATTACTAGATACACTTAGCTCCAAAGTAGTTCTGGATGGAAAAAACAAACAGGTCTCCCTTGAAAAAGAGATCGATGATCTCAATGGGACCACCTGGTTAAATAAAGGTTTAATAATAAATACAAATAAAAAACCAATTACAACATACATTTCGAAAGACACCCTCTATGCCCCTTTTTTAAACTCCCTTACTTAAAAGTGAGCAACAATGCTCTTGTAAAAGCGTTGTTGCCCCTAACCGTAACCCTTTTTTTTGCTTTGTCAAATGCACTGATTTTTAAATGTACTGTACATTATTTTGGCTTGGATATTTGTGGGTGTTTATTAGCTGTATTAAATACTTTAAATACCCCCAAAACTTGCTACTGTATGTACAGTAACAGCAGAAAATACACAGAGATTATCTGGGGAACATTTTGAAGCCAAACATCTGGATATTTTTCTTAGGAGTTGGTATGAAATAAGACTGATTTGCTACTTTTTTAGTAGCAACCTGAACATTTAAGCTGATGCAAAGTGCCTTAAACCTCCATTATTTCTAATAACCAGCAGGGGCCAAACTTCCATAGGTAAAAAAGAGGTACGATTATATAGAAGTTGACATTCTTATATACAGTCTAAAGGAGATTACCCAGACATTCATTAGTATTTCAAAGTTTGAGACCGAGAACTTTTTTCTTCTTTACATGTGAGAAAAACAACACATTTACTACCACAGCAATGGTAACAATGTATGACTTCAAAAGAACTGCATGACTGGTACAGTTATACATAGAAAACTATTAAAAAAGAAGAAAAACAACATGCAAAAGAAAGAAGTCTGATTAAAAGAGGCAAGACAAAGGAGAAAAACAATTAACAACCTCAACCACTGACACTGGTTTAACAACCTATGGCGTGTGTGGTGCGTGCTTCATTGCAAATCATGCAATTAGGGCTAAATCACATTTAATTGAGTGGGTAACATTGTTCTGATCAAATACAGCAGAAAAGTGAGCCTTGAGAGACAGAATCAGCCGTGCTTAATTTGATATGTGGGCTGTATTATAATTGGTCTTTGCCTGTCTATCTCTGTGATTGTTAACTATGACAGGCCTGCTGCTTGGGTGCCCTGCTGTAATGGATTCTTACTGATTGAAGCAGAGACAAGCGGGTTCAATACACCCACGAAAGGCACATGAACAGATGTACACACCTACACACAATTTGTAGTACACCGTAAACATGAAAGCACCACAAACTTGTGCACACCTCCAGACATGCCGACTTGTCGATCTTCTCTGTGCAGTTCCCCCTGCGTTTCTCAGTAAGGAGCATTTAACACCAGTTTAATTGAAAGCCAAATTAAAGGCTTTTTATGGCTTTGATTCACAAAGAAGCGCTGACCCCTGTTTCAATTACAGCATATCCATATCCACAAAGGCACACACGTGCACTCTATCATCTGTGACAGTATCATGAATGCAAAGACTGAGTTTATCTGAGCATGGGTGATAGAGGTTAAAGAGAAAAAGGAACAGAACAAACATATAAAGGAAGGAAGTAAGATAAAACGATGAAAGGGAATGAATAAAGCTTTCTTTGGTATTTATCACAAGGCCCATTTCCAAAAGATGACAGCCTATCTGATTACCCCCCCCCCCCCCCATACCACCTCCAATGGTTTATCTTCCCCGTTTGATCCGTCTTTTCCCACTTTGTGTCTCTGTATTCCCTCCAACTCCTTTCCTACTTCTCCCTCGCTCATCCCCCCTCCTTTTCGTCACATTAACAACATAGAGAGGACGACACCAAAGCGCGCCATCTTTATCTCTCTCGCCGTTTGAGGCCACTGAAGATAAGGAACTTTCCTTTAATTTGAAATAAATGGCCTTCATCAGGGAAAGCCAAAGTCTCCTGATAGCGCTGCGTTGGTTTATTAAAGGAGCTTGGAGCAGAACATTGGCTCAGTCGCAGCGAAAGCTAAAGCCCTGTCCACATGCCACACCAAATTGAAGGTGAGGTCTTAAATCAACAATATTAACTGAGCCGCTTACAAAAATAAATAAATAAAAGGAAGTGAGAGAGAGCTTTGGTTTTTTCGCCGGAACGAACTATAGCAGCATCCCTGACAGCGCTTCAAGCCATGTATTTTCTCTTGAAGTGAATGTGTGTATGTGCTGCGAACGCACTTTATTGTGAGAGGGAGCAGTCATTTTTTGGGAGAGTTCTCCACGCATCTGTGAGCGGTAAATATTACAAAACATAAACAGTAAGATTAGTGTCTTAATTAATGGTGCTGCCCATTATTTGTTATCTCCGGCAGCGAAGGCGGAGGCGGTTGGAACACAGAGGCCTCAGACTTCAGGACCACGCAAACCAGCTTACAAAGAGAAATGAAAGGGGGAGACATTAGAAAATGGAAAAGACACAAAACACACCACCAACTACAAAAGCCTCTGGCAAAGCTACGAGACTGATAAGAAAGATGCTTTTTATCGCCTCTAAACCATGCATCTCTTAGAGTTAGCGATGTTTTTTGTGTGTTTTCCTTACTGGCTTTGGCTATGCATATGAGGCATTGTTTGTCCTGCATGCCATTTTATTTTTATCCTGTCAACTACAAAGTATTGCTATCTGTACTGTGTTTCAGGCAGCTAATTAGAAAATGGTGTTAACATCTCAAAGGAAGTAGCGCCCAAGGAAAATTAAGAGAATCCAATATTGTTAGTGACTAGAGGGCTACAATACCGACAACGTTTATTATGTGTATGTTCTAGACTTTTTGTTATTTTGCTTGTCTCTGGCTGTGTATTTCAAAAAACGAAAACACTTTAAAAAGTGTTGAAGCTCTAAAAATAAACCCATTGTAGCTATTGTAGCACCCTTTCAATCCCTTATAGAGACTAGTGCGCTATGCACTCTGCCAATACCACATAGTATTCTCCAAACAAACAGCAAAAGCGTATATACCCCTAACCCTAAATTATAACCCTAACCCTCTCAGATTGAGCTGTTAGAGGACCACTTTAGGACAGGATATTTATTTGGGAAATGGGTTGATTAACTGAAGTCATATTTAGGTCAGACCTACCATTGTAGGATAAATGTAATACTCTATTTGAATCAAATGTTTCTGCTAAGAAGAATCCATGGTGGTTCTGTTGAGCGTAGTTGGTTTCATTATTAAAGGTTATTGAATCCTTCAGTAGTGAGGTTGGAGTTCAAGTTTGCTATCCCAACATCACAACATACAGCCCAAAGAAATGTTCTTTATTTTTATTACCAGGGTAATAAAAATCTGATATTTTCGAACAATAACAAAAGAGGGTGGTTGGTAGGAGCCATCAGTTTGTCTTTAATCTTTAGTTTTTCACAAAAAGCCTTGCAAGAACTGTCTTAATATCACACGTTTCTAGGGTCAGGCATCTACATTGCCAATCATTAAACCATGGCATTTTGTCTGGTGGTTCTCGTATCCCTGAACAACTTGAGCCTCAACTGTCAGGATTCAAATCATGTTTGATATTCTGTTTAACACTCGGCTACATTCACACACTACAACTATTGTGAAGTCCTCGTCCGACCTCTATTGTCAAGGACATTGCTGTTGTTGTAGCGACTGCAGTCTTTTCTGCAATAGCCCGCAACCTGGGTGTACAGGGATTTTACAGACAAGGCATATTGGTTACATCTGCCAAGCCACAGATGGAAATACAACTCTATTTAATGAACCAAGATCAACAGAGAAAGAAAATTCCCAACATTTTGGGAAATACGCTTTGCCGAAGAGAAGAAGTACATGGTAACTGATTCTAAGATGAGAAGATGGATACCACTCTCATGTCTTAAAATTGTTTAAAAATATCACGGTAGTTAAATGAGTTTGCATGTTCATGACTAGACCAGAAAGGATGGATCAGGGATCATCTCAAAACTCCTGTAGTCTAAACCCAACATTAGTTTGACATAAATACAATTTAGCCTGGTTCTTCTCATTGCTAAAAGTGTATCAACACAAATGTTTAATACAATGTTTTAAAGCTTCCCCAAAGGCTTGAGAATGTGCTACTTCATTATTTCTATATGATTACTTACTTTTATAATGCTGCTACCGATCTTTTCTACCTTGAATGTTATTTGATTTTTATTTTGTAATGTGTGCTTCCCTCTTTTCTATTGATAGTCTACTCGTTTATGTTACCTTTATCTGCACTGTCCTCTTTGCTGTATGTACATGTTCCCCACTGTGGGACAAACAAAGGATTTCTGATATATTTAGCATTTTTAAAGAAGTGCAAATAATTTGCTTAAGATTGGAGAGCTCCTATTAAAAAAAATGGAATCCCTGGTGTACAGAGAAAGAAAAGAGGAAGGACTCTCATTGTCCCTAAAGAGCGCTGATGCTCTGAAAAGAGAACAGTAAACCTGAAGTAAACAGGTCCACCCTTATCTATCGAGGCAGGAAATGGCATTTGACATGTTCAGAGAGCCAGAATTCCTGGACACGCTGTTTTACCATTAACCAATTGATTAAAATACTCGTGTTGTGGTGAAGTGAAGTGAAAACCGAGATGATAAAAAGGACGGAAGAGGGCAGGAGAGGTGAAGAGGAAAACAGCTAGAGAGACAGAGATGCCTCTTATCTCTTGCTTGTAGCTTGTATGCACCTGCACCCTGACAGCTTTTCAATTGGCTAAGGGCACACATCCTCTTCTCCTCATCTTCTATCTCCAAACCTCTTCAGTCCTCCATCTATCCATTTATATCCCAACCAGGAAGACAGGGTCCTCTATAGTACTCACACTACACTTTGTCTCTCATCTCAAGCATTTAAGCAGAAGAAAAGTGCTTAATTTAAAATCCTTACTTTTGCTAATCCTTTA